TATAAAAATGAAAAAAATTTTATGGAAAAATGATTTTGGAAGAATAAATTATTTTTTACGTTTACTTAGATACTTATTTAAGAGATAAAACCCTTTTAATTTATTAAAAAATAATTAAAATAGATTGATCCAACAACAAATTTTAAAACCATTACCAACCACTTTGTCTTCATTTCATTCCGGGTTGACCCGTGGCATTTATAATTACTGGCCATAAGAATAAGTTCCTAACTCTTATTAACGTGATAATGACGTGCTTGCCTTCGAAGATCAGACTCAGATTTTTCAATTGAGTAACTCTCTCTCTCTCTGAGTGAGCAATGGCAAGAGCAGGAGGAATAACGAACGCAGTAAACGTGGGGATAGCAGTGCAAGCAGATTGGGAGAATCGCGAGTTCATATCTCATGTTTCCCTCAATGTCCGTCGCCTCTTTGACTTCCTCGTCCAATTCGGTGAGCCAAATGTTTCCTTGTAAATTTTCCTTCTCCAAATTTAATCAAACACAAATGCTATGATCTAGCTTCCATTGAATATTTGTGAAAGTTATAGTAGATGCTAATGATTGGGCCTTGAAATCTGATGTTGATTGATACTAACAGCACCTAAAGTTCTTGCCTTTGATCTTGATTCTGGGCTGAGATGTGCTTCGAGATTTGGCTCATTTCTCTCTTAAAACTGTATGCTTTGAAGTCATAATGTTGTGTTATTATGTGAATTTTGAACTGAATTCAATTGTTTATATTTCTTGACTGTTATTAACTATCGAGGAAGCTGATTTTTTCTTTTTTGGAGAAATAATATAAGTCTCGAACATGCTAATATTATAAGTGTTGTTTTCTCAATTCAAATGCTTCGGAAAACCTAGAGAAAATATTAAGGCATTAATTAATCAGTTGCATTTTTTCAGAATATATATCAAGGTTTCCGGAAATTGTAAAATTAATAAATCATGTGTTTTTGCTCTCATAAGCAAAGATCCTAATTCTAAAACTGCTCTCGTAAAAGTTGTCAAAATTTTCGTTGGATAAAATTCAGTTTGTGAGCTTGATTCAATTATACTCTGTAAGCATATGATGAATCTGTTGAGAACTTTTAAGTGAACCTACGCCCGCTATTGCAATTTAGCAATTGCAATAGTTCAGTGTGCTAAGTTCAATCCAAGTGCTCTGAGTGCCCGGACAAGGAATGCATAGTTTGTCTGACCAGCCATCCTCTTTCAAAATGTGCCCTTCCATTGTACTTTTGGTCACAATATTGTCTTCGATACTGGAATCTTTCTGAACAATGGCGATCTAGTACAACTTCCATTGACCACGTTTTATCTGGTCAAAAATGTTCTTGAGTGAGTTTGGTTCTGGATAGCAAGTTTAACCTGCTTGTTTTCCTCTCTTTTAATGCATAATTTCCTTTAAATGTCTTATTTTGAATTCTTTCCTCATAGTTGATATGTACCTAGTCACTGATTCACGAATAATGCACGTTATTTAGAAATCACTAACATGAATCCAATCTAATTTGTTTGTTTATGATTACTTTCAGTTTCATTTTTGTAATAGTTGCAGCCCATGAGGTAGAATTATGCACAATTTGAATGTAATGGGTTTCCCTTTTGGCATCATGATCTCTTGTCTGCCAGAGGCTACAACAAAAAGCAAGCTGGCATCCTTGAATGAGAAGCTTGATACACTGGAGCGTCGTCTAGAACTGCTTGAAGTCCAAGTGGGTTCTGCAACAGCCAACCCATCTCTGTTTACTGCTTGATCTACACTGGATTGCAGCATTGTAAAAATATAGCTTGCATGTAAGCTACCTCTTATCTGGACTATGATCATGTTGCTTGATTTAGGAATCCAACATGAAATGATATATCCCTATGTTTACCAATTGTATATTTTTCTTGTTCTTTATGGTGTGGATACCTCAGTTGCTCGTTTGTGCTGAAGTGTTTTTTCGCAGGAAAGATAATGGAATGAGTTTGGTTTTGTGTCATTTTAGTTATCTTTCCAAGTTGACATAATGAGAATTCAATTGCTTAGATTGCTACGAATGAAGCACTAATGAAAGCTGAATGGCACATTGGTGCTTGTTGATGTTGAAAAAGAAAAATATGATCTAATACATTGCACTCAACTGAAACCTGCTCCTACATCTTGGGTCGATCACGCACATCCGTCACACTTTGCATATCATTGGACAATTTTTATTTGTCTGGACCTTAGCCCATGTATCTCCGGCCTTCCCCTTGTTCTTGTACCTCCTTTGGTCAGAAACACATCTCTGTATTGGTGCTGTCACCAGTCTTTTTTGCAGATTCAAGCCAAATTTTAGCTGACCTTCTACCTTGAGGTCCTCGTGGGGTTGTTACGTCAATTTCTTAGAAATGCATGCCTATATCACTTTCCTTTTCCTGAGCTTACCATCATCAACTTCCAACCATTTTTGTTTTGTGAATCAACAAAATAGTCATTTAGGTTAATGCATGAACAGGTTGACTTCTAACTGTCTTTGTTTTGCCTTGGATTTGTATATGCACACCCCTGCCACTTAATCTGCTTTGCTCAATTTACTATGCGGTGTCTTCTTCAATCCTTCTCTCCTTGATGTTTAGTTGAAAACAACAGTTAGGTTTGATCTTCTATTGCAGCAAGTCATAGTAGTTTATTCAAAAGTCTCTCAACTTTTCAGTCTTCACTCCATATTTGTCTCTCTCTAAAAGTTATGATCAAAATACTTCAATTATTTTATTACTCTGTACAAAATCCCACAAGATCAATAGCTTGCCTTTGGTTTCAACCCTGCTCAATACTCATATTATAGTTTTACAAATTTTAATATCTCCTAGTTTTATTTCTTTCACCATTATAGTCATTACTTAAATAATTCGATGTGCACTCTAATATAAATTATAATCCATTAATTCACAAATCAAAACTAGACACAAGATAAGAATTCTCATAAGTTTGAAAGTTTTGAGAAGATATGTCAGATTTTACCAAAGTGTATAATTGAAACCTAATCACACTTGTCCTCGACTTATAACTTCTAAAATGTGTACACCAATGATCTATCTAATCCATTCAAAGGAAATTTTAGTAATTAACCAACTATACTACTTAGGTTAAGAGTCAAGTTATATCTCAAAGATATTTACTCTCAGTCCCCAATCCGGAGCTCAAATCAATAAGTCTTACAATCGTCTCATAACTCACTTGTATTCGAATTTATACTTTTAAATCAATCATAATATCTCTACATTCACCAACTCAATTAAGGCCAATTATTTTTTCTATCTTCCAAATATTCATTCTTAATTTCTAACCTTGAACTAGAATTAATAACCATGAAATCATTTCTTAGTGGCTTTCATCAACATCACAACTCTTTTCATAATACCTATACTTTCGAATCTCTATGATACAATCCAGTACAACATATGTCTTGTAATATACAAAAATGTGAAGATAGATTGTCAAGAATCCCAAAATTTCTCTCAATGCTCTATCCCCAGACTTCTTATGATATAATCAAAACTAAAACAAGACTCTCAATGATTCACTTAATATTCTTCAATTTAATTCCATTAGTCATCATATCCTTAGCAATTATTCATAATTCCCAAGATAATAACGATTTGCTAATTATTAGGATAACCATAATCATTTATCCCCAAAATTACATAAATTTTCTACACTCATGTTAAAGTCAATCTTCATAGGTATCATCATTGATTTCTCAAATTACATCTTTCCAATTATTACCACTAACCGTTAAGTTCAAATCTCAAATACTCATGCCAATAATATTCAAGTATAATTAATTAAACCTATCTCAATAATGTATTAAGAGAGAGAAAAAAAAGAACTTCAAATTCCCCCAACACAACTCCAAAAATAAAAATATTAAAAGATCTCACAGAATAATAGAAGTTTATATTAAACTTTAGATATCATCTTTATTTTAATAATTGTCTGTTATATCTAACCTCGAGCTTTTAAGTCTCTATAATCTTTAATCCTACAATATCTAGGGTCAAAGATAACTACTACAACTTAGTCAGGATTCCTAAATTTTCTTTTTACATGTTTATAAGTTCATTTCCATAACTCAACCTCAAATTTTCAATCAAAATTTGTAAATATAAATCAACTATTAACTCCACACTCAACCAAGATATTTTTGATTGTTAATACTTTAGATAATATAAGTATAGTTAACTAAATCCACCACGAAATAATGTTACCTAAGTATATCGTTCTCAATGAGTATTCTACTTATGACCCTTCTAAACTATTAATACTTTCAAAAGAAGTTTAATCAATACTACGTAATATTTTCAAACAAATATTGAGAATCTCAAGTGCATAGTTATAAAACAACATCCTATTCATTTAAGACCAATAATCACAATTTCAATCATTATTTCAAAAATAGGCTCCCATTCGAGGTTACTTTACCATATCTCTTCAATTTCTATAACTTTTGAGTAACACACATAATTTTTCCCAACCTTATTATTCAAAGTTTAGTCCATCTTAAAAAACAATCTAAGTTAACCTTATCTCCACACATCCAAATGGGGTTATCACATCTCCTTAACTTCCAAAAAATATAAGCAACACTAATAGTAGAATAGAATACTTAGAGTCAACAAGACACCAAATCATAGTCATATTTTATATTGTTATCCATCAAAACACTTCAATCAACAAAGGGGCGTCTCTAAGTCAAAGCCTAAATAGCGTGAAAGCTCATTTAAGGATAAGTCCTTCAGAGTTTAAGAAAAAAATCACGACACTTTGATATCTAAGGAATAACACAGTGCAAATTTTTGATCAACTTCGGAGAATAAATTAATTTAACTCAGGTATTTCTAGCGTGTGTGACTTATATGGTTGAAAATATATATGAGTTAAGTTTCTAATAGAAAAACGGTGCACAATTTGGACTTTTCAAAAAAGAGTTATGGTCCAATTAGTGAAAGATAGTCTGCTTGACTCGACTGATGGTTCTGCTACGGTTGTCCAATTCAAGTTTGACTGTTTTTTGTCATAAATCTTATCTCATACTCATCTCCAATATCGGTAATATCACTTGCATAAATATCCATTTATAGCATTATTTACAAATCAAAAGTCAAATTACCATCCATCTCCTAGAATAGTCCATAATAACATGACATAAAACTAGTATATTCATCCCAAAATTTTCGTCAACTCCTTTAAACAAGCTAATCCATGAATTAGAACAAATAAGTAATTCCTAACCAAACTAAACAATAAATTACATTTATCTTATAAACATATAACTTCAAACAAATTCAAGTGTAGAGTTTCTTCAATCTAACCTAACACTCCAATGATAATCCACAACCTGCAGCTCCAATGTAAGACTTAATTCCTAAACTCTGATACCAAACTTATAATGCCCCAAAATCTACCCTAAAGACATTAATTATCTATATAACATCCAACCATGAGAGCATACTAAAGTACCATTAAATAAATAAAACCATTCATAATTCAACATCTGATTAGATAAATCTGAAAAAAAAAACATAAATAAATCCTTAACATAAGTAAATTGTCAAATATAAACTCTAAAGACTAAAATTCATTCTCAAATTTTCACAGCTAAATTTACATCATGATCCTCCTTAGCCTCTCAATCTACCAACTCATCTTACTCTAGATTCTCCTCCATACTAAAATCTAAAAAATGTTATGGTAGGATGAGCAATAAAGCCCAGTAAAAAATCTTCTCAAACCAAAACAAGGTTTAAAAATCATGAAAATAGGTAAGTCATAGTTTGTAAAATAATATATATAATTCTGAAGTAAAACAATGACCTTTAATGAGATCTCAAATTTACAGTACCAAATGGTAAAGTTCATAGAAGTAAAACTCATTCACAATGCAATAGTTATTCACAAATATTATATCTCATATACGCACGTAGACTAACATGAAATTACAACATGAACATATTTGGTCCACACCACATCATAATTACAAACCATCAAATCAATCCTCGCAAGGTCATAAAACTTTAGAAAGGGCATATATTAACACATCGACAATGACAAATCCTTCTTAGGACTAGTATACTAACTCCTAACCTTGATCACCGTGAACGAATAGTAGTTTGGTCCTTGCAAGGCACCAACCTCACTACAAGTGATAGAAAACCTTCAAACCTCGAGGAAAGAGAAAACATCTAAACACTCTACGATATAGATTCAGGTGCAATTCACGTTCATCACATTCACCCATACAAGAGATAAATTACACAACTTTTTCATAAAATTCAACTACAATTAAGAATCATAGTTCCATAATATTTTCAAATGAATAATTCAAGAAAACATACAAGAGATCCCCAAGAAAACATATTTGAATTGATGGTAATTAAGAACTAGGGTTTTTGTAATTAAGACATATAAATTTTGATGTAAAACATGTGAAGATTAAATAATAAATCAAGAATCAGGGTTCTTTAGTCAAGAACATGTGATTTTTGGATGTAAAACATTTATTTGTATGTAAATAATCTGTTTATTCAAGAATTTAAGAATATATTAAAAAAAGAATGTAAAAACTTTCTATATCTATCACATATATAGAATAAGAGTCAAAAGAACTAGATTTTAAATCAAGAATGGAGTGATCCTGGAAGAAAATCATGTATTTTGTTCAAGAAACGAATCATGAATTCAAAAGAATGTACAATCATTGTAGATCAATTATTTATATCATAATAAGGATGAAAAAGATATATCATATGATCCTAAACATCAATGAATGAATCTGAGAAAAAATATCTTCCTTGATTCTTAAGATCTTGATCATAACATATTTTGTTGCGATTACCGTGTGTTAATCATTCAAGATTCAACCTGTCCTTCTTCCTTTTCTTCTCTTCAAACCTTTTTAGGATTCTTGGGGTTGAAAATATAGGTAAAGACACTTTAGCTCGCGGCCCTATGATATTTATAGGCTTAAAAATGGAGAATTTTTGTTTGGACGCAAGTAACAGTTTGTCTCTGACTTTAGATCAATTTTGATCTTGTAAGAGGCCGATTCACAAAATTTTCGTGAAATACACTTTTGTAGCCTTTGAAATTTAGTTTATACTGTAAAAATTTTAGGTCAATCATACATTGGGGTAAAAGTTTATTGCCAAAATTCTAATATAATATCAAACTCTTTTCTACCAAAATCCTCTCCAAAATAGTTTTAACTCTAGAATTCTTCTAAACTTATAATACAACTCATATAACATCTTCTAATATTTTTCGACCTTTCTGATTCAATGGAAACCTTATTTTGATCTAAAGTCAAACTTAAACATTTTCAAAACTCAATTTACTTTGAAAGTCAATACGCTTGAAACTCAAATTTCATAATCAATCTTTCAACAATGATTCTATGTTTCTACCATCAGTTTATTCATTTTATGAAAACTCTTAATATAATATTATCCTTGTTTAATTTTAATACGGCGTCTTATAGATTGTTGTACCAAAATTTGATGGGATCAAGAAAAATCTTCTAATTGACAGACAGTTTTTAAGCGATTGTTTGGAATGAGTTCAAATATCTTATATCAGGACTTCTTTAGATAAAAAATAATGGAGATTCTTACTGTGCAAAAGGTAATTAAAACAAAAGAACTAATAAAAGAAAATTCTTTTATTAATCAAATCGAAAGGACTTCAGTTACAAGAAACTAAATAAAATAGTCTTGAATATAGCATTAACTGCTTCCTAAACTAACCTAAAAGTACTTATAAATATACTTTGATCGTAGGTTTTTTGGAGGTTTGAATGTGTGTATCTCATTCATTGAATGACCTTTTATTGCCATCTTTTTCGATGGTTTTACTTCTCTCGATGGTTACTTAATGTTAACTTTCAGTTAGTTACTTTAGTCTTTTCAAATGTGGCTGTAACTAAATTCTGCCACGTAACACTTCAATAAATCTATGAATACCAAGTGTAAATGCACTGAGTATTCCTGAAAGTTTATATTTTAGGCCAAGCACATTCTAACTAGTGTTTTCATGACTAGCACTTACAATCGTGTGATAACAAAAACAAAGACCGGAAAACAAGGGAACAAAACTTTGATAATTTGATTCAACAACCACATTTAGGCTCAATATTTTTATGTTTTAAAGTTGCCAACAACGGAAAGTTCGTCAACTAATGATGTAAAAGTTCAATGATTTTTTGTGGCATTGCTTAGCCTAAAGTGATGATAAGTGCCCACCTCCTTAAATAATACGTCACAATTTCGAATCTGAGAATCTACTGCTTCAAATTTTGAAGATTAGCAAATTTTTTTTTCCAAACAAAAACAAATTGTTTAAACTGACCCGCCTTGTAATTTTCACTTTTAATATAAAGTTCGTGATAAACTAAGCAATTTCAACCTTAGTTAAAACCAAGACATCGAATGACAACTAAAAATCAGCAAGAACATCATAGTAAGTGATCAACAAGAACATCTAGTAATGGGAGTCGAATGTTTCCAAAAACCAACAAACCCAACCTATCCGAAGAACTGTATTCATAACCAAATATGATGTTTACATATCTTGTCATGGAAAATATTGGAACTTATAAAACAAAATGAGAATAGATTCTTTAGAGACTGTCGGTAAATAAACTGTTTACTTGTCAATCAAAAATCTATGAGTAATACTACAAAACTTAAATGAAACTCAAAAAATTATAACTCAAATACATATTATTAGTTAGATGAGTGGGTCTCTGTAATTTGTTCAGTGGGATCCACTCATCCCACACTTATCTAAGAGATGATATACATTTGAGTTTTAATTTTTAGATTTCATTTAGATTATATAACATTTTTAAAAATGTGTTGTTGCATTAGTGTCCATAAAAACATGGGTTATTTGAAAATTCAATCTGCTTAGCATACGAGAAATCCTAATTTAAATATACCACAACTTCCAATTAAACTCCGTACCACCATTTATCATCACTACCAGAATCTTGGAATCCAATTCTATAGAAATTTTGTAGTCATTTATTGCAAAATCCTGTAAAAGCTCAAGTCTACCATATAACGCCCAAAATTCAGCCTCCAAATTAATAGAATCAACATAATAATTAGAGCCTACAATAATTAACTGTGATTTAAAATTCCGAAGCAAAATCCACAGCCAAATTCACAGCGATTTAGTTGCCTTTTTTTTTGGAAGAGTTGCTTCTTTTCTGATTGGTTCCTAAACTGGTGTTTTATAACAATTAATCTTAAGTTTAAGAGGCCATTTGGTAAGGGAGTATGAGAGGGCTTGACAAGATGTGTTTGGGAAAAATAGTCTAAAGGACCTCCAAATCTTATGTTTGGATTGAAAATTCAATCATAGGATCCCAAACCCTGCCTGTAGCTGACCCGAATATTAAAATCATGATCATGAGTTTCATCAAAGCTAAGAGGGAGATGGGTTAAGAGATTAAGGATTCAAAAGACAATTATACCCCTTAACACAAGTATGAATTAGATTGATCAAACATAAAATAATCATTTACAGGACAAATAGTTATTAATAATTATAATTATATTTGTGAGTCCTACATATGTATGTGTTACATACCAAACATGAGTATGAATTACATTCAATATTGAATCCTATCTTTATAGAAAAAGATTTGAGTTTGAAAGAATTTTGGAAAATTAATCTAAACTTTCTCCAAAAATCCATCTAAATAAGCCCTAAGAGTATGATAGTCATTCAAACTCAAAAATAGATGTTTACACAAAATATTTTTCCAAAATAGACTTCCATCCCAATAAGTTATGTGTAACGACATCCAAATTTCTCTTTCTTTTTCACTTTATCATTGAAATACCAAATGCAAAACTTAAAAGATTCATTTGGTTGTCGTACTAAAAATAGATAGATTGTATAAAATAATACAGTCAAATATAATACAAATAGATAAAAGACATGATTAAATATGATATTAGAATTATACGTAATTTTATATAACGTTTGACAATACACAATATAAGTGTTAAGTAATAATTATTTAATCTAATCGGTTATTTGGTTAGAGAATTATTTCATCTTATAAATTTTGAATTAACAAAAATACCTTCAATCAGTGTTTATTACATTAATGACAACTAAATTTATTACTTGGGGGTTATAATAGTAAATGTGTACAATAATACATTTGGTTGGATTATAATATCACCTCTCTTGGTGGTATTAAAAGACCTAAATAATATAAGTTTATCGAATAAAAAATATATAAATAATATACGTTTTTAAAATTGATACGGTATCAAATTTGTTTATCAAACAAAATATTAAACACAATTAACTAAAAAAATAGTACAATATAATGTTTAATCTTTTTATAATACATCTACCAAACGAGCTCAAAGAGTATCTAACAAACAAGGTTCCAATATACTTTTCCTTTTTCTAGGTAGATGACTAAGATGAGGTAACAATTATAATCGCTTGAAAATGGTCACTGGCAAGGTACTTAATAAAAGAAGGAACAACGTTGGCTTTCGGAGCATCACCTATATAAACAGTGTTCATAAAGCAAGCAGAGGCTTTTTGGAGGAGAACTCTTCCACATCAGACATCACGTGAATTTGTACTTCAACAACCAGACTATCTCGTACTACGAAGCCCTTTGATTTGTCATGCAGATCAGGAAGAGAAATTAGATCGAAACCCCTGCTTTTGCTTAGGTCACAGAACCAACCATCACCTGTGAGAGAATAATTAAGAGGAAACTTTTAAAGGAAGTGAACAAACAGTTTCCCAGTCTCTGTAAAAAAAACATATGTCTTTTCACCTTTCCTTTCGCGGTGTTTGCCGTTGACTTGATCTTTTACCAAGACGCTAAATTCCACATACAATTTTACCTTGGTTGGAAGGGATCTGCAATTATCTAAACATAGAAAGACAGATAAGCTTTTGCCCTGTCCACTGCCTTGTCCTTTGGGATAAACATGTATCTTCCTAGAGCAATAACGAAAACAACATATAAGAAACAATTCCATTTGGTTATGGTACAAAGAGAATAAGAATTAAGTGAGGAACTCAAAGGGCTTAAACCATTTGTGCTCTCCAATGGTGAAAGGTTCAGAGAACAAACGCTCCTCTTTTATTTCTGCAATTTTTTTGATCTCCCAAGAGTAACTATTGTCATAAGTTTCCTCCTTCAAAGAAAGACACTCTCCTCTGCCAGTAGATTTAATGACATAAACCTCAGCTCCAAACACACAGGAGTCATCAATAAGGTATCCGTTAGAAGCATCTTTGAAAGTGTCAATGGAAAGTAATTTGGCAAAACCGAACTTCGTCTTAAACCTGTGGAAATGTCTTAGTCTCCCATCAGCATCTACATACATGATAGACGCCGGTTAAGCAAAGAAAAAATTTAAGTTATACTGTTTCTGACCACTTAAACAGACTTTTTATTACTTCGAGTGCAAGAATGTGCATTTTGAGAAATCTTACTTTGGAGGGTCAAGTACTTGTCTCGGATATGATCATACACAAACAATTCGAATTTGACATTGACCTCCCAACCAAGAGGTAATGTATCTGTCTCTGATATTGCCAAGTAGAGAGAGATATGCCCTTTCCCATTTTCCTTCTCGTATCCATTCGGATATAGACACAATTTCCTGCAAACAAGGCAAAGCACACAATGAGAAAACTTATCTTGGATTTTAAAAAGCAAGAAGACTTACAACAAGTGAGAAGAAAGGATTTCTATTTCAACTCACCATTTGTAACCACCTGATTCAAAGTCACTCGATTCAAATCTTTTCTCATCTGCCTTGGAAAGCAATGAGAATGATTTGATTTGAAATAGGTAATCACTAGGTGGAACCTCTCTCAGTGTCCTTGAAATTTCTGCAGAGACTGAAAAAGGTTCATACTTTGCTTCATATCATTCTTTTATTCTTTTATATAGAAACTTGATTGCAGATAATTTATTCTTAAAAAATTCTAAAAAATACAAAGAATGAGAAAAGCACAAAAAAAAAAAGTATGAGATGACTTGATGAATAATAAAAACTATGCCCAGAATTAAAACAAACCATTCAGGCCAACGTTACATGGATTGTGGATCGATTTAGTACGTAGTATGATACTTTTTCTAATACACGGTACAATGTGAATAGCCTTAGTTGGTACACTATCTTGAGTCGTGTTTCGTTTTGTAACATTTAAATAGAATAAAATATTGATATACACATAGTTAATAAATATTTATTTTAAAGAACATCAAAATAAAGAAATAACAAGTTAGAATTATGATTTAGAATTGCAGTTATGGTGTGGATTACTTATATCATGAATCAATTTGTAGTTAGACTTATAATTTGGGGTCAAGACTTTAAGTGATTTGGATCGTGTAGCCACTTTATTTCGATTTGTATGAACCTTGTTCATGGGACCCTAGAGGTATCTAGGATCCCAGTATTTATGGTTTAGACACCTCTAATATAATGCTCAGACTTCAACATCTAGATCTTTTGTTTTAAACGCATAAAAAACACATAAGCACCCAAAGGGAGACATAGTGATTACCAACTACACCATCATTGTTAGGGAAAGGATGGATAGATTTCTCATCCATGACTGTCGTCTTATGTTTTTGAAGAACGAGGTCTTCTTCTACTTGATATTTGATGTGAGTGACTGGATTGCCTGCTTGGTTCCCTGTTGAGGAATACGGCGATGCTATATATATACTAGGTGTTGTCTTCTGCAATATGAGATTAATTAGGCACACACGAGCAAAGCACCTATAAAATCAGAGGCGAATGAACTGAGAATCAAAGTCCTAAATTTACTCTGTCTCACTCCCCATATTAAGGAAACCTGAGATGTCACCTGCAAAATACTTACATATACAAACATAATTGACAGCATGGCAAATATGTTGACGTTTTTTTAAAAAAAAAACCAAACAAATAGAGATACAGTGTGCGGAAATAGATATATGCTTGCATTCGCATAACTATAGACAAAAAGGACTATAATATGAAAAAATTGTGAAAAAAACAGAAATATTACAGCAGTAAAATATCGACAGTTATCATAAAATAGCCCAAAATAAAGCAGAAAATCATAAAAAAAAATGAAAAATTTCAACCCCACCCCTTCTAGTTTACTATATACACCCCTTTGATTATCAAAAACATTATTGACACTCCTTCTAGTTTATATTTAAATATCATTCACACCTCGCAATTAAACCACCATTTCTAGCAAAAAAAAAAAAATCCATTTAAAATACTAAAAATACTCGTACATACACCCCAAACAATTTTTCTACATAAAATTCAAGCCGATTAAAATTTATTTTTTTATATGAAAATTTGAACCGATTAAAATTCATTTTTCTACATATAAAATTTGAGTCAATTAAAATTCAATTCGAGCTGATTAAATTTTATATTTTTTTATTTATTAAAATTCATGCCAATTAAAATTTCATTCAAGTTATTTAAAATTTATTTTTATGTATTAAAATTTGAGTCGATTAAAACGATTAAAATTCTATGCGAGTTGATTAAAATTTGATTTAAATCAATTAAAAATTAATCGACTTGAATTTTAATGGACTCAAATTTTAATAGGTAAAAAATAAATTTTAATTAATTCAAATCGAATTTTAATACATTACAAAAAAATTAAAAATAAGGGGTCTTATTGAAGATATGCTTATCTAGAGGGGGAGTGGATAAAGTTTTTTCTCAAATAAATCGTGGACAATTTAGTAAAATTATATTATAATTAATATTTTTAATCTGATAGATGTGTTACTGAAGATTTAAAAAATAAAAAAAATAACTTTAAAGATACGATAAATTAGAAGGGATGTAACTGAAATGTTTACTTAAAAAAAGCGCGCACCCTGACAGACTGAACCTAGCTTCTCTCTTAGCAGTAAAGACACAAACACTGTCTTTTCTCTCCTTTTGTATACGCTCGGTAATACATATGACTGTATATTTCAGACAGACAGAGAAGTAAGGAGAAAATAAGAAAGTTAAACTCCTACCGAACAGAGAATACCTGATAGTTGGACACTTTTAGTCGCCCAAAAAACACGAAGGTCCACCTGAGAAAGAAGGAGTTCTTGGGTGCAGTCGCCGGGAATTGGATATCACGCGCGTCGGCCGGAGCATGCAGACAGAGAGAGATAGGGAAACAGTGAAGGGAGTAGTGAGAATATGCGTGAGTGAGAAGAAAAAATTGTGCCTCAGCAACTTTATTGTTGAGACAAATCTTTCCTAAGATTTCTCTACAAGATTGTCCACAATCACAGATGCGTAATTGATGTGTGTCCCCACCAATCACGGCAATTGTTGGCTGCATTTGTGTTTCCTTTTGACTAATGTATTCAACACTAGCTGCAATCTCCTTATTTTATACATTATCTAGTTTGTCTTGTTGTTCCATACATATGTTCATGTCTCCTTATATAAAGTCAATGAAATAAACCCATAATGGTTAAGGGGAAGTTACACCAAAACCCTTTTTCTTACATTTATAATCGGTCAGTGATAAAAGGGGGCTCCGGACTCCAAATGTTTATTCACTGCAGTGAATTTTGAAAAAAAAAGGATTAAAAAAAAGAGAATTACACAAAGATTCTTTAAGATTTGTCATTTAATTAATTAAATCCTTAATATTTAAAATATTATACACAGACTCTCTAAAGTTTATACATGCGTAATACTTAGACCTTTGTCGTTACTGTCCGTTAGAATATCTGTTAGTAAATAATATTCAAACCCCCTAAAGTTTGTGTACGTGTAATATTTAAGCCTCTCAAGTTTAAATTGTTATACTTAGATAAAAAATACTCCAATTAAAGATAAAATATTAAATATTTTAAATTTTACAAACAAAATTCTATGTATATTATGTCATTTATTGATTTTAAATTAAAAATAAAAATATAATTTTTTGTTAAAAAAATCATAATTAGTATAGAATTATATTAACTATATGAAATAAAACTACAAAAATAAACAATTGGTCTAACTATAATGGATACAATATCTTATTTTTTAATTGGAGTAGTTTGATCATTTAATAGATAATATAATTGTATACTAATTATAATTTTTTTAACAAAAAATTGAATTTTTAATTTTAATTTTGTTTTAATAAAAGACATAATAGAACATAAATTATAGTTATAACATTTAAAATATTTAATATTTTATCTCTGATTAGATTATTTTTGGTGCAAGTGTAATATTTAAATTTGAGAGGTCTAAATATTACATACCTATAAATTTTAAAAAATTTGAGTATAATTTACTAATGAATATTGGACATTAATGACAAAGATCTAAATGTTACGGGCATATCAACTTCAGGAAATGTGTATAATATTTTAAATATTAGGGATGTAAATGATTAAGTGACAAATTTTAGATGATCTGAATGTAATTTCCCTTAAAAAAATAGGCAAATGGTATTGCGAACTTTTAAAAAAAAACAATTGCTTTTTGCTTTTTTGCTTTTTTGGTTTTTGCTTTTTAAAGCAAAATATTTTAAAAAAAAATTAAAATGTAGCGTTCATTTTTCAGCAAAAAAAAAACTTTTAAGAAGCAAAATAAAGAAGTATTATTTTTTCAAAAAACAAAAAAAAATTACATATTCAAAGCAAATAACATATTTTACGCAAAAAAATATAAATATATGTTAATACACCAAAATTCACACAATAGGACCCTAAAATACATGCACTAATACATCAAAAACATACAAATACACACATTAATACACTAACACATATAAAACACACTAATACACCAATAGATACACTAATACACCAAAATAGGAACATAAACAATAATACACCGAAACATACATTCTCTCTCTCTCTCTCTCTCTCTCTCTGTGATCTGTATTTATATCTATACTATAAATAAAAGTACCTTAACATGAAAAACTTTAATTTACTATTTTACTCTCATAAAAAACTATATATATATATATATAGCTTTTCTTTTCATTCACAATCAAAAGAATTTAGTAAAAAATTATTGAGACATAAAGTAAAAACAAGAAAGACAAAAAGAAAAATATATAACCTTTACTACTTGGCAACTCGAAAGAAGAACATAGAAAATAAGTTCATCGGATGTTTATAGTTATGAAGATAATACAAATAATTTAAGTATGATAAATATGAGATAATATTTAATTTTGCTACATTACTAAATTTTTTTTGTGTGTTTTATCAAATGTTTCAACAAAAAAATTCATGTGCAACGCACGTAGTGCATTGTTAGTATACTAAACTACATGCATGTTAATATGCCAAACACACACACACACACACTAATATACCAAAACACACATACACTAATTCAAAAAAAATACACACACAAATACACCAAAAAACAAAAATATTCACGTGTACACTACAACACCAAAAAAAAAAAAAATACACACACATAGTAAATATACCAAAACACACACACACACACATCATTTAATTCATGTGTTATGGATCAATTTAGATTAATCAAAACCGGTGTTATTGTCTTATGCAAAATGTAGTACAAATTCCTAATTATTTTGTTATACTAGTTGATGTACACGTGTATTGTACGTGAAATTTTTTGAATTATGATTTATTTTTTATTTAAAAACCAAATTATACGATAACAAATAATATCCAAAACGAAAATCTAATCAACAAAAACATGCATGGTCATTTCTATTGAATTTTCTTTTTTCCCTGCATGTAAAATACAAGGAAACAATCTTCTATTAACCCTAACACTTAGCTAATGTTGAGCACTTAAACAAATTTCATAACCATACTTCATAAAACTAAGCCTGTTATAAATAGACCATTGGCCCACTTATACCACTCATAAGAAGAACTCCAGTTGACCAACTTAGGTAAAGCTAGTAGTTCCAGAGTCTTTATTTCAGTTGCACATCTAGCATATGGACCAAGAAGTGCACAAGAAAATCAAATTTTTTCGTCAGCAAGTTAAATATTGAGAAGTCCCAAAAGGAATATAATGATACCTATACATCATAGATACATGATAAGCTGTTTTTCTTTTCCATGTATAATTCTCAAATCCTAGCATTACAAGGTGAGGAACAAATTCTTCAACCTCGTTTCGTAGATCAACAACAACCTTCTTGTTAAGGCACTTTAGGAATCATTTCTACAACAAAATTCATTTCTATCCCTACGTGACTTCACTATACAAATTATGGATGATTACTTTTGTTTATCTGAGTTATTTTAATACATTTTACTTTTCGAATATAATAGAAGGGATAGACTTGATCATTTTGGGATTACCATGGGTATGGGTGTTCTTTTAACAGTAAAAAAGGTAACCAAAGAGTCCAGGTTGTAATCCACATGTTTCTTTGTCAGGTTGACATAATGATTTTGTAAATGATTAGAAATAATTTTTTTGCTACATCTACTTTACTATTTCTATAAGTAATAAACGTCATTGAACAGGAAAATAAAAAACAAGGCAAAATAAAGAACTTCTCAAGCACCTAAAGATATCAGAAAGAGAATTCGAAAGATTTTTTTTAAAAAAAATATACGGGGATGCTTGTGTTTTTTACAAGAAAAAAAAGTTAGTTATTTGTGAGAAAATTCAAACATGAAATAAATTTATTTTTTCTATCATTTTCCTTTGTATATTAACTAAACACATGAAAATTTTAAAATGTTTCTCTTTATTACATTTTCTATCATTCTCCCGCTAAACGAATGAATTCTTTATTTTTTACTTTACTATGAAATTAGTCAATTTTGAGTGCATCTTTGTGATCAGTTCAGTGAAATAAATATAACACCAATTGAATGGGTTGGCAATGTAGATTAATGCTCCATTTGGCAAGATAAAAAATTGGAATGATGGAAAGATGTAGAGATAGGTAAAATATCATGTTTGGTAAAAAAAAAATGGGAAGAATGAAAAAGTGGATGAATTAACTTTCCTTTTAATTTACCAAAATCAATCTCTATAAAATTGGGAGAAAAGGGGATAAAAAATTAATTATGTGTATTAAAATGTATGTTAATTATCTATATATCATATTTATTAATTACATATTATGTAGTTATATTCTTTCATCCTTTTATTTTTTTTTATTAATACCAAACATAAAAAAAATTAATCATTTCTACTTTCTATCCATCATACCAAATATAAAGAAAAGTAGTATATCATTTCTACTTTCGTTCTTAAAAGATAGAAAGTGTATCATTCATATTTTTCATTCTTCCTATCAAACGGAGGATAAGTAGTTGATGATCCTTGATTCTCACGAGATTTTTTAACAGACGAGTTCTTTGGCATGTGTTGATTTCTTATGTTCCTTCTTTTGGTGGTATAGTAAGCTCTGTTTTTAGGCGTCTTTTCACCCTTCTATGAGTGGTTTTTTCTATGCTATAGATGCCTTGTTCTACAATTATTAATTACATTTACATTAAAAAAGTAAAACAGAATAAATTTTTGCCCAACCAAATCATTGAAATACCAAATGCAAAACTTAAAAGAGTATCTAGCAAAAGAGGTTCCAATATACTTTTCTTTTTTCCAGGTAGATGAGGTAACAATTAGAATCGCTTGAAAATGGTTACTAGCAAGGTACTCAACAAGAGAAGGAACAACATTGGCTTTCGGAGCATGGCCTATACATCACGTGTTTCTAAAGCAGGCAATTTCGAGGAGAACTCTTTCGCATTAGACATCACGTGAATTTGCACTTCAACAACCAGACTATCTAGTACTACGAAGCCCTTCGATTTGTCATGCAGATCAGGAAGAGAAATTAGATGGAAACCCCAGCCTTTACTTGGCTCATAGAACCAATGATAACCTGTGATAGAATAATTACGAGGAAATTTTAGAGGAAGTGAACAAACTAATTTTAAAAGGAAAATATTGACAAACCAGTTTCCCCTGTAAAAAGAACATATGTGATATGTTAAAGAAGGAGGGCAAGTGTTCACCTTCCATTTCGCAGTGTTTGCCATTGACTTGGTCTTTTACCAAGACGGTAAATTCCGAATACAATTTTTGATTGGTTGGAAGGGATTCGCAATATTCTAAACATAGAAAGACAGATAAGCTTTTGCCCTTTTCACTACTATGTCCTTTGGGATAAACAAGTATCTTCCTAGATCAATAAAGAAAACAGCATATAAGAAACAATTCCATCTGGTTATGGTACATAGAGAATAAGAATTAAGTGAGAAACTCCAAGGTCTCAAACCATTTGTGCTCTCCAATGGTGAAAGGTTCAGAGAACAAACGCTCCTCTTTTATTTCTGAAAATTTTTGATCTCCCAAGAGTAACTATTGTCATAAGTTTCCTCCTTCAAAGAAAGACACTCTCCTCTGCCAGTAGATTTAATGACATAAACCTCGGCTCCAAACACACAGGAGTCATCAATAAGGTATCCGTTAGAAGCATCTTTGAAAGTGTCAATGGAAAGTAATTTGGCAAAACCGAACTCCGTCTTAAACCTGTGGAAATGTCTTAGTCTCCCATCAGCATCTACATACATGATAGACGCCGGTTACGCAAAGAAAAGAAAAAATTTATGTTATACTCTTTCTGACCGCTTAAACAGACTTATTATTACTACGAGTGCAAGAATGTGCATTTTGAGAAATCTTACTTTGGAGGGTCAAGTACTTGTCTCGGATATGATCATACACAAACAATTCGAATTTGACATTAACCTCCCAACCAAGAGGTAATGTATCTGCCTCTGATATTGCCAAGTAGAGAGAGATATGCCCTTTCCCATTTTCCTTTTCGTATCCATTCGGATATAGACTCAATTTCCTGCAAACAAGGCAAAAGCACACAATGAGAAAACTTATCTTGGATTTTAAAAAGCAAGAAGACTTCCCACAAGTGAGAAGAAAGGATTTCTATTTCAACTCACCATTTGTAACCACCTGATTCAAAGTCACTCGATTCAAATCTTTTATCTTTTGCCTTGGAAAGCAATGAGAACGATTTGATTTGAAATAGGTAATCAGTTGGTGGAACCTCTCTCAGTGTCCTTGAAATTTCTGCACAGACTCAAAAAGGTTCATCATTTGCTACGTATCACTGTTTTATATAGAAACTTGATTATAGGTAATATATTTTTAAAAAATTCTGAAAAATACAAAGAAAGAGAAAGGCAGAAAAAAAAGTATGAGATGAAGTTATATCATAGGTTTCCTTGTGTCTTGATGAATAATAAAAATTATGCCCAGATCTAAAACAATCCGTTCGGACCAACGTTACATGAATTATGGATCAATTTAGTACGTGATACAATACTTGTTCTGATACACAATACAGTGGGAATAGCCTTAATTGGTACACTATTTTGAGTCGTGGTTCGTTTTGTAACATTTATATAGAATAATATATTGGTATGCACATAATTAATAAATATTTATTTTAAAGAACACCAAAATAAAGAAGTAGCAAGTTAGAGTTATGATGTAGATTACTTATATCATGAATTAATTTGTGGTTAGACTTATAATTTAGGGTCAGGACTTTGAGTGATCTGGATCGTGTACCCACATTTTTTCGATTCGTGTGAACCTTGTTCATGGGACGCTAGGGGCATCTATGTTCCCAATATCTATGGTTCAGACTCCTCTAATACAATGCTCAGACTTTAACATCTATTGCATTTGATAACGTTTTCGTTTATATGTTTTTTTTTAATTTAAAAAAAATAGAACTAAATTTTTTTTTTGTGATAAAAATTAAAAATATAAAACATATTTGATGGGTTTAAAATATAATAAAAATAAAAAACCTATTTGGTATTATACCAAAAATTCACCATCCAAACTCCACCACCCAACTCCACTAACTATCCAAAACTATCACCAAACCCCACCACCAAACCCACTGACTACCCAAAACCACCACCAAACCCCACCACTAAAACCCACCCTCAACCCCACCATTGAAACCCACAACCCCCACCCCACCACCACCGAAATCCCACCATTGAAACCTATTACCACAACCACTGAAACTCATCAGCACAACCACCGAAACTCACCCCCACCACCACTAAAACCACAACCACTGAAACCCACCCCCCACAATCACCGAAACCCACCCCCAATCCAACCCCCACCATCGAAACCTACAACCCACCACCACCGCCACAATCACCGATGGAGTGTTGGCTTGAGATCTGAGAGCTCCTTCGTTGCTTTTTCGTTGCTAGCCTCGTGAGAGAGATGAACGAGAGAGTGTGACCCTGAGAGATGAAGGAGAGAGAGGAGGCAAAAAGGGGTAAACATGTTTTTATAGTGGGAAAGAAAAAAACATTTTTTTTGCCACTAATGGAGTTCGAGGGCTAGACCTCATTAAATGGTTCCAAGTGGCGTGCATTTTTCTGTTTTTTTCGTGATTTTAAAAACACCTATTTTGATGTTTTTAAAATTTGGGATCGTTTACAAAACAGACCAACCCAAAAAAAAAAATTAAAACAAAAAAAAAAAACACAAACACATGGTTATCAAAACGGCCTAGATCTTCAAACGCATAAAAAACACATAAGCACCTAGAGGGAGACATAGTGATTACCAATTGCACCATCATTGTTAGGGAAAGAATGGACATACTTTTCGTCCATGACTGTCGTCTTATGTTTTTGAAGAACTAGGTCTTCTTCTGCTCGATATTTGATGTGAGTGACTGGATTGCCTGCTTGGTTCCTTGTTAAGGAATATATATATATATATAAAGACCAATAGTTAGTCTCCCTGAAAATAGAAAGAATTTGGGGTTAAAAGATAAAAACCTAATTCAACAAATTGATGCACTTATCTCAAAGAAGGAAGCTACTAGTACTTCTCAAGTAACAGTCATCAACCAAACTGAAGAAAGTTCAGAATACAGTAGTCTGGAAGAAACCACTAACTCTGATTCTGAAATTGAAAACTTGGAAAAACAGTTTGCACATCACAGCATGACTCAACCTATTTCCAAGCTCAATGCTTTGGTTAGGCTCCCTACTAATTCCACTAAGAATTGGTATCCTAGACCTATACCACCAGATCTTCAATATGAAGAAAAAAATGTATTAAATCAATTTTCTGTTCAGTCCAATAAACTCTATGAATGGAACATAGATGAATTAAGTGAACAGGAAATCATTAATAAAATTAGTCATCTGTCTATGGTGATTAATAATTATATGACCAATCTTGACAACCCTGAACCTGATATTGTTAAATTAATAACCTCAGGATTCACAGGTGTTCTACGAGATTGGTGAGATAATTATCTCACCTCAGACCAAAAGGAAAGTATTATTTATGCTGTCCTTAGAGATGATGAAGGAAATCCAATTTTTGATGAAAGGATTGGATTGACTAAACTTGATGGATGTAATACTCTTATATTCACCATCATTAAACACTTTGTAGGAACACCTAGTAGCATTACTGCTAGGATCCACGACCAACTTACCAACCTAAGATGTCCCACTCTAAGTGACCTTAGGTGGTATAAGGATGTTTTTGTTTCACGTGTCATGGTTCGACCAGATTGCCAGAAAGCATTCTGGAAAGAAAAATTTGTTAATGGACTACCCAATCTTTTTGCCCATAAGGTAAGAGAAGCCCTTAGCAAAGACACTGGAATTATTGAATATGATAATCTTGCTTATGGAGAACTCATTAGCACCATCCAAAATGTAGGATTAAAATGGTGTATTGATTTGAGAATTAATAAGCAATTAACAAATGAAAAGTAAAAAGCCAAATATGAATTAGGTAATTTTTGTGAACAGTATGGATTGCAGCCAGTAGCTCCTTCCCAATCTAAACCTCACAAAAAACCTAAACATCACCGCACTTATTCCAAAAATAAGTTTTATCAAAAACACAAGAAGTCTTTTTCTAAACCTAAAACTGAAATTTCTAATAAGACCAAAAAGCATTATCGGCCTAAATCTTATAAGAAATCAGCAAAGGGAAAAGGAAAAGCACAAGCAGATACTAAATGTTTTAATTGTGGCAAACCAGGCCATATTAGTCCTAATTGTCCAATTAAAAAACAGGTTAAAAGATTAAATTTATCTCAAGAAGATGAGGATAAAATCCTGGAAATCTTTAGAATAAATAATTTAGACAATTCTGCAGAATCGGAAAGTCCAGAAGAGCCATCAGATTCTTCTAACTACCATTCCGCATCTGATCACCCTCATATCCAATTAGGATGTGTTTGTCATAAACAAGTTCGGGTAATCACTAAACAAAATGAAGAACACATGCTTATAGATCTAATCTCCAAGATAGAGGATCCAGATCTAAAAGAAAAATATGTTAAACAACTTAGGAATTTATTTAAAAAGGACAGTAAACAACCTGTTCTTGAAAAACAAATTGTAAGTCTTAACAAAACTATGGAAAGATTCAGTAATGAAAAAAAAAAAGAAATTACCTTACAAGATCTCCAAAGTGAAGTTAATAAACTCAAAATAGAAATAAAAGAATTAAAAGCTCAAGACAAAAAATTTGCAGAAGCTTTAAGTCTTTTACAAACAGAAAAACAATCTGAAAAAACTCAGGATCCTGATCCAGAAGATCAGACTGAAGATTTTACTAATCCTTTTGATCATCAATGCTTTACACAGGGGATACCAGTAACCTCCTCCTTTCAGACGGAAACTTCTGGTGTAACGAACCTGCCTTCATTCCATGAAGTAAGCACTAATGATGATAAAAGAGTTAGCCTAATTAATTCTTTAACTGTCCAAAAATGGCATGTTGAAGTCAAAATAGTCATCAATAATAACTTTGAACTTAACATTATTGCACTTATTAATACAGGTGCAGATGTTAACTGTATCCAAGAAGGACTGGTTCCAACCATGTTTTATGAAAAAACAATGGAAAGAATTAGTTCTGCTAGAGAGAGTGTCTGAAGTTCAAAAACTTGGGTTCTTCTGAGGAGAGGGAGCTGCCTTATATAGAGG